AAACTCAATTGAATGGGGTTTTCAACCATAAAAGAAAAATATTGAAAGCCCGGCCCAGTTCATTTATGATTTTTATGCGTTCTAAGTCTTTCCATCCAACTACCAAAAGATTATGGGCTCTCATGTCAGGCCCATTGATAATATCTACCAATCCAAAACTGAAAAGGAATACCACCCGACCCGTTCGTATCTTTCTCTATAAGAATGGACAAATCCCACCTACATCGTCTATTTATTTTCGTTTCGTGCTCGTTAATCCAGACCACCGCATCTCGATATATTTCCCCCTTTTCGATTTCTCTCCACGCCGTAGGAAAAATTGAAGAGCGGACTCCGAGATCGCTACAAATCGCCGATCTCCTCTTTCAAGCGAATTTAATTTTGCCGTCGTAATGGCTTCTGCAGCCACTATGGTATATGACCTGAAGCGGTTGTCGGAGTCGTCGCCGCCGCCGCCCATCCTCCAATCCATCGAGGAGGAGGACCCCTACGCCAAGCTGAAATCTCTGCAGCGTCAACTTGAGTTCATCGAAATCCAGGAGGAGTATGTCAAAGATGAGCAGAAGAATCTCAAGCGCGAGCTCCTCCGGGCGCAGGAAGAGGTCAAGCGGATCCAGTCGGTGCCGTTGGTTATCGGGCAGTTCATGGAGATGGTCGACACCAACAACGGTATCGTTGGGTCGACCACCGGCTCGAACTACTATGTGAGGATTTTGAGCACGATTAATCGGGAGCTGTTGAAGCCGTCGGCTTCCGTCGCTTTGCACCGCCATTCGAATGCCCTTGTCGATGTGTTGCCTCCTGAGGCCGATTCGAGCATCTCCCTGCTCAGTCAGTCGGAGAAGCCCGATGTTACATATAATGTAAGTTCAATTCTGTAGCTTAATTTTTTTTTCCTCCGAGTCTTCGGTTTATGGGGATGCTGAATATTAGGGTTTCGCTTTGAAATAGTGCCCTGAGTGGGGTAAAGTTTGGAACTTTGATAGCAGAAACTAGGGTTTTATGAAAGAATGGATATTTTAGAGTAATTGGTTCAAATAGCTGTAAAGATTGCTCCTTTGCCCTAAGAATTGTGGTTCAAAGTTCTGGACTTCCAGCCAAACTTGGAAGGGAGTTTGTGCTGTGTTGTGTGGAAACTTCCTTTTGGATTTAGAAGGGTATGGTTCACTCAAGAAAGTTCATCAATCCACCAAAAATTTCTCCCTGTCATCTAATTATATAGTGTCGAGATGGACTTTTCTAACTAGGCATCTAGAATTCCTGCTCTTTTGATATTTTGCATCTCTTATTGACACAAAGCATGTGCTCCAATCGAAGCACTGGCACAATCCCTCGTCAATTTCATTGCATTTGGTGCCTTGTTTGAAAGTCTGAACTTTTCCTTATGATCTTGCCAGGATATTGGAGGATGTGACATTCAAAAGCAAGAAATTCGTGAGGCTGTGGAGTTGCCGCTGACTCATCACGAGTTGTACAAGCAAATCGGTATAGACCCACCTCGAGGTGTGCTGCTCTATGGTCCCCCTGGTACTGGGAAAACTATGCTCGCTAAGGCTGTTGCAAATCATACTACAGCAGCTTTCATTAGAGTTGTTGGGTCTGAGTTTGTGCAGAAGTATCTGGGAGAGGTATGTCCTGAAAGGAAACTTGTGGAATGTTACTAGTACCTCATGACAATAAGTTTGATGTGGTCTTGATTATCAATCTCTTGTTTTTGTAACCCCAGGGGCCACGCATGGTTCGGGATGTCTTCCGTCTTGCCAAAGAGAACGCACCTGCAATTATTTTCATCGATGAAGTGGATGCTATTGCCACGGCTAGGTTTGATGCACAGACAGGAGCTGATAGGGAAGTTCAGCGTATTCTGATGGAGCTCTTGAATCAGGTATCTGCTAAGAACCTGGTCTTAATGGAGATAGTATTGTCTCGGCTCTCTTGAATATTGTTATTGGCATCTGGATATTATTTCTGACTGCTGCTTCAATAATTGGCTGCAGATGGATGGGTTTGACCAGACTGTTAATGTCAAAGTCATAATGGCAACTAATCGTGCTGATACTCTGGACCCTGCACTCCTTCGTCCTGGAAGGCTGGACAGGAAAATTGAGTTTCCTTTGCCTGATAGGAGACAGAAGAGGCTGGTCTTCCAGGTATAGCCTCTGCCGCTCTGATGACTACTTTTGTTTTTCTTGTACCTAACTTAACCCCCATATCGTCATTATTTTTACCTGAAGTGTGTATTGATGCATTTTGGATGATTATTGTACAGGTCTGCACCTCTAAGATGAATCTTGGTGACGAGGTGGATTTGGAGGATTATGTGTCAAGGCCAGATAAAATTAGCGCTGCTGAGGTTGGTTAGCTTGCTACTTTCATATAAATATTCTTATTCCCAGTGCTTTCAATTTGTTTCTCTTTTGAGGTTGTTGCACCGGTTTGTGTTCATGTTGCATGTTTTTGCTACTCCCATTCAAGATTCCAGTTATTCTGGATTTGTTGGCTGTCTCTTCAAAAAATCCAGAAAATGCAGATTTCTGCCCGTTTTAATTATGTAGTCATGCCAACTGGATCCAGATTATGTCATTGCATTGATTTTTTTAATTTAGTAATTCATTATTCATTTGCTTGTTGTTATAGTTGCAGATAGATGAAGTTCAGATTAGATCATTAGTCTTTTCTTCAGTATTTGTACCCTAACTATGTGTTTGGGTTGTCTGCTCTTCTGTTTGGGCTGATGTTCGTCTCACCGAGTCTCAATATTTCAGCTGCTCCGAGTCTCGGTTTTTTATCTGAGGTTATGCATTTTCTGGATATTTGCTGATTCTGACCACTTGCTTTCTTTGACTATGGGCCACAGATTGCAGCCATCTGCCAAGAAGCAGGGATGCACGCAGTACGTAAGAACAGATACGTGATACTTCCCAAGGACTTTGAGAAGGGTTACCGTTCGAATGTGAAGAAGCCAGACACCGACTTCGAATTCTACAAGTAGAAGAAACAAAGGACCACTTGTACCTGCTGATGTGGATGGATCGACTTAAATTATTTTGTTGAATCAGGAAGGATCAAGGGAGCCCCAGAAAAAAAAAATCAACTGCTGCTAGTGCAAGTTTGTGACCATAGAGTGGGGAACTTTGTGTTGGGCAAACTTTTTTGCCTGCGGGTAGGGTTTATTAGAAGTAAAATGCTTTCAGACTTTCAGTTGCTGAATTTCATACCAAGCTGTGTCACTTATTGGAAAGTCTTGCCACCTGCTGTACCATTTGATTTAGTTTGCTCTTATCACATTGTTGCTGTGCCTTATTTATACGATTGGCACCTCGGACATGGCAGCATTTCTATTTCCTTTTACTGCGAAAGTGTAGCAGGAACTTGGCATTTCTTCTCTGTTGAATCCATGCTTATGCACTTGCTGATCACTACAAGAAGAACGGCTTGCAGCTTGCGGGTTTGATTCCAGATTCCGTTGTCAGGTGAAACCTGGGGATAACGCTGTTGGTAGTCGTGTTTTCTTCTTGTCATCTTTCCGTGCCTGTCAATTTGACGGGTAGAATATTTTGAAGTGCCTGTAATGTAAGGGCGCCAGAAAGGTTGGTTTTTCGGAAGGATCAATAGCCTTACAATGATTCTAGAAATGGATGGTTTCTTCAATCTTTCTGAAAATTCACACTACTACTTACGATGGCATTTTGATTTGGCTCCCACAACATGACTTGCTCAAACTTGTGCGTGGTGAGTGATTCTCCACGGCGCGCGGTTAGAATGGATGGTTGAACCGCTGAGGTCCAATTCATGAGAAGCAGCAGTAGTCAAAGAGAATGTAGATGGAGTTGGAAATCCGGATCAAATCGTATTAGAAATCGCAGTTTATATCAAATGACATGTTTTGGTCAGTATCGTGAGACCATAATCATAGTCTGGTATGGTTTGATGTCTCACCCTTAAGTGTGTGGTCTAAAAGCGGTCTGAATCGCGACTAATCGTGAAAGACCGTGACTCATAACCCACTAATCTAAACCAAAATGACATAAAACTTTCATTTCTGCATTTGGAAGAACAAACCGTGAGCTAGATCAATCAAGCCATGGTGAGCTAACATCCTGATCTTCCTATTATAGATTTCAGTACAAGCATAACAAATCAATTGATTCTTCATTGGATTGACAACCAACAAACTACTCAAGCGATCTCTTTTTTGTGTTCTCCTGTTGAAAGTACCACGCACAAAATCATAAGAAAATGGGGATATATTCTCGATTAACCATGTCTAGACTCCAAAATTGATAATATTGAACTGCATAACAAAATTTATTTGCCTTTGTGGGATAAAAGAAATTCTGAAGAGCCAAGTCAGTGGTTCTTAATGATGAAGCCCAAAACTCAAATAAAGTCTTCCGCAATTAATCTAACAATGGCATGTAATAATAGGGTTATACATAACTCAAGCCATTCAGATAGGCTTGAGTTTGCACAGGCACAGGTCGGGACACCATGTACTTAACAGAAACAGATGGGGGTGGGGTCATCGGGATTTGAATAGGAGATCTTTCAGTCACATAAGGCTCTGATACTATGTCAGAACCAATTGATCTCGATAATTCGAGTTGTTGAGAGAGGTTCAATCGTAAATCATAAACCGTTTACTAACAACCCATATACTACACTTTTGAAAATACTAAATCCAAACTCACTCAAAAAAATTAGAATCCAACGATTTGTTTATAATTGAGTTGGGTCGGATTTCTACTTGCTGCGTTACCCAAAATCTACACCCAACCTAATAGATGTGGTTTGTACAAAAGAAAACCTTCACTCAACTTTAAACGTTATTTTTACAATAAAAACACTTTAAACTTTATTTTTGATAATATAAACGAGTGAATTGGATAGAATTGGACGGGTCAATTTAGGAATTGTTTTGTGCACCCTATGTAACGTTAATACACAAGAAACCTCTCATCGCAATTCATCTTCTTTCCCCTTGGACCAGAAAGCCCAAAAGCCCACAAGAAGAACCCATCTTTCTCTCCGCGCCTTCCCACTTTCCACGTTTACTTTCCTTTCCGAGAGCGCGCAGCCAATGAGTCAAACTCCCGGCAAACTCAGAACTCTCCTCTCCAAATTTCGCTGCTACATCGGTTTCGCCACTGCCTCCACCGCCGTCGCTTCCGCTTCACTCTCCACCTCGGTCGCCGGCGCATCCATGGAGGAGATCAAGACCCGCGTTTGCATCATCGGGAGCGGCCCCGCCGCCCACACCGCCGCAATCTACGCCGCAAGAGCCGAGCTCAAGCCCATCCTCTTCGAAGGCTGGATGGCCAACGACATCGCCCCCGGTGGCCAGCTCACCACCACCACCGACGTCGAGAACTTCCCCGGATTCCCCGAAGGAATCATGGGCGGAGAGCTCATGGATCGCTGCCGTAGCCAGTCCCTCCGATTCGGCACCCAAGTCTTCACCGAGACGGTAAACAAGGTCGATTTCTCTTCCACTCCTTTCAAGATCACCACCGATTCGAAGACCGTCGTCGCCGATACCGTCGTGGTTGCCACGGGGGCGGTAGCCAAGCGCCTCCACTTCTCCGGGTCGGACACTTTCTGGAACCGGGGAATCTCCGCGTGCGCGGTGTGCGACGGCGCCGCCCCCATTTTCAGGAACAAGCCGCTGGCCGTGATCGGAGGTGGGGATTCGGCGATGGAAGAGGCGAATTTCTTGACCAAGTACGGGAGCAAAGTTTACATCATTCACAGGAGGGATACTTTCAGGGCATCCAAGATTATGCAGAACAGGGCTCTGACGAACCCTAAGATTGAGGTGCTGTGGAATTCGGTGACGGAGGAGGCTTATGGAGAGAGGTCGCTTACTGGGTTGAAGGTGAGGAACATGGTGACAGATGAAGTCTCCGATTTGAAGGTTTCTGGGTTGTTCTTCGCCATTGGTCATGAACCAGCTACCAAGTTCTTGGATGGGCAGCTGGAGCTCGACTCTGATGGCTACGTTTTGACCAAGCCTGGAACTACGCAGACTAGCGTTCGTGGGGTTTTTGCTGCTGGTGATGTTCAGGACAAGAAATATAGACAGGCTATAACAGCAGCTGGCACTGGTTCGTTCTCTTGCTTTGTCATCTTTGTTCATTTGCAGTTCTAGCTCTAACTCGAATCATGATCTGACTTCAACTGTGCCATGCAGTTCTCTTGCTTTGCCATGCTTGGCACTTGACACATTAATTTCCATATATGGCATTGTTCTTTACAGTTCCTAGTTGTTTCTGTTGTTTCTTTGGCGTCAAATTGTAGTAGGATGAGAAGTAAGCTAGATCTTTACTCTACGTACAGGTGAGTAAAGTAGTTTGCGGTACACTTTATCTTCTAATTCTTGAAGCCGCTATAAGTAGTTTTTACATATGTTCTCTTTGATATAGAACCAAGCTATAGTTTAGATAAAGTAGATGATCAAAGAAAGATAGCGAGTCTGATTCGAAGCATGTAACCGAATACTGTTTGGTTCACATGTTCTGAGTAGCAGGTTAGTTCAGTCTCGACTTTCTTCTAATATTCATGGTTTATTAAGCATTTGCAGTTACAGATTGATGTCATAAGGACTGGAAACTGTTGCGAAAAACTTACCTTGTCTGCAAATGTTTATATACTGCATTCCAGCTTCCAAGCATCTAGCTAGTTAAGGCCTTTTGCTACAATGATGTGTAATCTAGTTCTCATCATGCTGCTCTTGGACGATTTTAGGATTGTAAATGCAGGCTTAGTTGAAAGGCCACCTTGATTTTGGGTTCTACCTTGTGGAAAGTAGCCTGCCTTCTTTCTTCTATGCTCGGGTCAATCACTCATAAGACGGTTATTTGCATGTCGAAGAACAATTGTTACCCTTGCCCATGCTTCGTTTCTTTCGTAAACAAATATGCCAGCTTAACTTGGAGTCCTACGTACGTTTGTGGCTTTGCAGGGTGCATGGCAGCATTGGAAGCAGAGCATTTCCTGCAAGAGATTGGCGCCCAAGAGGATAAGAGCGAGCCATCTATATAAGATGTGAAAAGGATTTGTGCTTATACTGAAGAAAGAAGGATACTCATTCTGATTGCTTGATTTGTTGTTAAAGCTTGGTGATCAGCCCGAATGTATTTGAGAGGGGTTGTTTAAACATTCCTCTAATCACATTATGTAAGGCGCAAGGCCTTGAGTGTCGGATTCTGCTTTCTATTCAGACATTGCAAAAGCTTAAGTTGGCACTAGATTGAGTAGACATTTTACAGTTCTGCGTGGTTCTACGCAGCAAAGTAATATTTGTGTCAAGTTTTCAGTTCACATGAGAAAGATGGAGGCGCGAATTTATTCATGCATGTCACTGATTGAGCTTAGAAATGAAATGCTAAAATATGGTGTTGCTTGCTGCCTAGCTAGTATTAGCTATTTTTTCAAATAATGCCAATGAATGGTTTTAACTTTTAACCGGGTCTATTTTGGTTTGACTGGAGCGGTTAATTGATAACTGTAAGCGTTTTTTGTGCTAAACAAGAGTCGAAATTATTGGGCTTACTAGTTAGCTGCAACCAATAATTGGCAAAAGTGATTTGGTTTATCGGCATAAGTAGCATTTGGCATCCAACTACTGGTACTTTGTCCGCTGAATCACATGTTTTTTTTTCTTCTTCAAAGAAATGTCAAGAGAAAAAAAACTATACAATCTACCCGAAATCCTCCCAAACCAATATATTAGAGAAGTCACCCTACAAAGTCGAAGGAATCAATCTCAAGAGGAGAAAGTAACAGGGCTTTCAGCGTCACTCTATGGGCAGCCCCGTTAGCAGTTCTAGAAACTGCCCTAAACTCTAAGAAAACAGAAACTGAAGACAGGAACTAGAAGCAATCACGTAGCACCGGACCTCCGAGGGAATCTAAAGAAATGCCATAGCGAAGCTGACGAATCACCACTTCGGAATCACCTTCGATGATGACAAGAGGAAGGGTCTTGGAGACCAAGAGGGAGATAGCGTCTCGAGCTGCAAGAAGTTCTACGAGGTAGGGGTCAACAAAAGGAATCGCGAAGTAGAAAGTACTACTCTCAGTTTTATACAACAAACAATTTTCTTCATCAACGAATTACATGCATAACCTTGTGGTGCATAACCATTCATAATTCAATGATCTCAATCCGTCACATTAGCGTCTCTTCTTTCTCTTGAAGAGCCTTTAATTTTTTTCTCATTAATCTTTAACGGATGATTTTTTACTCATTTAAACCAGAATTTAAATTTATTTGCACAGCTAGATCAGATTAATTGTGCTCTTCAAAATAATATCCACTTTGATATATATTTTTTGAATAAAAAAATTGAGATTTTTTTACCAGTCTATACCATATGGTATTGACTTGTATTGAATAAGAGCATATCATATGGTATGAAAGATACCACCCCATACCAATGTGGTATAGTATGGTATGAAGGTATCGAGAGGTATGAAAATTTTCCCCCCATAAATTTTATGATCCAATAGATCATGATTAAATCGTTCATTTTGTGCGAAAATCTTCGAAAAGGACTTAAAAACGAAGAAAATACCATATGGTATGGAGTTGATAACGAGAGGTGTGAAAAAAAATTTCTCAAAAAATATTGAAAATGGATCTCATTTTGTAGAGTACAACGAACTCATTCCATCTATGCAAAAAAAAAAAAAAAAAAGAGTTAGAATGAAGAAGATATGATATGATTAAGAAATTAGGGAAAATAAAATGTCTTTTATTCACAACCCTTAGATCTGCAGCTCACTTAAAAGGAAGGGTCCAGATTTGGTTACTCATGTTAAGCACCCTAAGGTTATGCACCCTATCCAGAGTCATTTTCTTCGCTGCAATTTTCGTTATTTTTTTTTTTTTGATACTTAGATAAAAATTGCATTAAAACCAGGCAACCAATAGCATAAACACTATGGTGCTCCTCCGAACAAACAGTCAAGAAAAAAACTACCCCAAGCCCCGAGCAATGAAGCAATCTAATAAACTCTGATCCAGCCTACATCTATACTCAATAACCCATTTTGCCTGCTCCACCAGCTGCAAAGGAGACCGAGCACTAGTTGATCCATACATTCGAGAGCAGCGCTCTCGCCAAATCAGACTCAAAACAACACTCCAGGAAAGCCGATTAAGGCGTGCAGAAGCAGAGTTCCCACCCCAGCGATCAACACACCAGTTCAAAACATCCTGCCAATCTACCAATGGCGGCGGCGCAGCAGACTTGAACACCTGCACAAGAACATAACGCACAAACGCACACTGCACAAAAAGATGATTCCGAGTTTCCATCCCACCAGGACACAGCAAGCATAAGCCTGACAGAGACTTCCCCCAGGAGATAAGGCGGTCCTGTAGCTTTAACCTATCCTGAATAATCAGCCAAAGAATGAATCCATGGCGAGGAATCACCACACTATCCCAAACCAAATTCACCCAAGGCACAACACTACTCTTTTGACAAAGGGATTGCCAGACCCTTTTGATAGAATATGATTCCATAATTTCACCATCCCATGCTAATCCCCCCTGCAGCAATGATATAAAAGGCCTGACCATATCCCGACATTTCAAAATCCTCCGCCATATCCAGGAAGCAGCAGAGGAAGGCTTTAATTCCCAAACTGATTTGTACTTGATTCGATAACGGCGGATCCAAGCCACCCAAAGAGACCCCTGTTCAGCTAGAACTGCCCAAAAATGACGAAGCACACAGGCTTTATTCCAGATTGCAAATCCCCGAATTCCTAAACCCCCTTCCTTCTTAGGTCGAGCAAGAAACTCCCAGGAAACCACAGCCCTTGTCCGAATTGATGATTCAGTTATATCCCATAGATACTTACTACAGACAGACTCTACTTCCTTAATGACAAACTGAGGGAGAAGAAAGATCCCCATCCAATATTGCAACACACTAGTCAGAACAGACGTGATAAGTTGTAATCTTCCAGCAAAGCTCAACGTTCGTGCCCTCCAACTTGAAATCTTAGCTGTAATTTTCTCTACTAAAACCCGACAGTCTGCCCTAGATAGTTTCCCAGTGATAAGAGGGACGCCCAAATACCTCACAGGCAAGTTACCAAGAGGAAACTTTGAATATGATGAAATATACTGCTGCTCAGACGTCGAGATTCCCCCACAAAACAATTGACACTTATCCGGATTACATTTAAGACCAGAAACTTTATAAAAAGCATCAAGTACCCGACAGATCCCTGCCACCCCCCTTATAGAACCATTAGTAAACACCAGTAGATCATCAGCAAAACACAAGTGAGTGATTGCCAATGGTTTACATCTAGGGTGGGGGGGGGGGGATTTGGTTCTGCCTAACTGCTAACTTCAACATGCCATCTAATACTTCCATAGCGACAGTAAACAAATATGGCGATCGCCTTGCCTCAGACCTTTTTTCATCTAAAAAAACCCACAAACTCCACCATTCATCACAACACTCACTTTAGGAGTACAAACACAAGCTCGCAGCCATTTTATAAACATATCAGGGAGTCCCATCTGATCTAGAACAGTAAACAGAAAATTCCAGTCCACGGAATCAAACGCTTCCATAATATCGATTTTCACAGCACATCGTGGGGAAATTCTAGTCCTATGATAGTCCTTAACTAACTCTGATGCTAATAAGATATTATCACATATGGACCGACCTCTAATAAAGGCAGACTGAGATGTAGAGATAAGGCTTGGTAGGACAGAAGCTAACCTGTTTGCCAAAACCTTCGAGATACCTTTATAGACTGTGTTACAGCAGGAAATGGGACGGAAGTCTTTCATTCTCTCAGCGTTTGGAATCTTTGCCACCAGTGTGAAAAGGGTGGAATTCAGAACCTGCGGCATAATACCAGAAGAAAAGAAAGCCAGAACAACCTCCTCCACTTCTTTACCAATCAAATCCCAGTGCAATTTAAAAAACTCAGCAGGGAACCCATCAGGGCCTGGAGCCTTGTCTCGCCCCAGATTCTTAAACACCCTACATACTTCTTCCTTAGTTATGGGAGCAATTAATGAATCAGCTTCCTCCTGGGTAAGAGATTTAAGAGCCAAAGCTTCATAGAAACTAGATGGATGAATAAACACTTCAGGATCAACCTCTCCAATAAGGGCTTTATAGAACTCAACTGCAATCTGCCCCAATTTCTTAATATCAGTCACCTCCTGCCCTTGAGAATTTAACAGACGAGTCACTTGTTGGCGGTGAGAATGAATCTTTACTGAGCTATGGAAATAGGCAGTGTTCATATCACCCTCCTGGACCCCCCTTATGCGAGCTTTCTGCTTGTAAAAACTTTCTTCAGCCTTTTGCAAATCACGACATTTAACAGAGAGCTGTTTCTCTTCTCCCACCAGCACAGCATCAGGATTAGTCAATATGGCCAACTGAATAGCCTCCAGCCTACTTTCACAAGCTCTAGTTTGAACAGATATATCAGCATACACTTCTTTATTCATCTTAACTAGAGCCTGATGAACTTTTTGCAGCTTACCATAAAGAACAAAATATGGGTAGCCAATCACCTTATGCCTCCAAGCAGCAGCCACTAACTCATTATAGCCAGGGTGACTCGTCCAAAACCTGAAATATTTGAATGGCTTAGGAAAGCCCTTCACCTGAGGGGTAACTGTCAGCAATAAACCACTGTGATCCGAGACCCCTGGTGGAGAGGTAACTGCAGTACTAGCCTTAAACACAGATAACCATGCTTCATTGATAAGAATCCTATCCAATCTTTTTGCAATGGGATTTTCCTCCTGCTTGTTCCACCAAGTAAACCAAGCCCCCATAACTTTATGATCAATCACATTCATATCAGTGATCCAGGCCTTAAAAGCAACCATACTCGAGTTCATAAACAAAAGATTAGAAGTCTCCCCCGATTCAGCAACATCATTAAAGTCTCCCAAAATTGCCATTGGAACACTCCCCTCTTGCTGGAGTAAGAGCTCCTTATACAGCACTGCCCTATCAGCTTCCTTGTTTGGACTGTATACTACTAATAAAAAGAAAGGATTAGGCCCTCCAACTCTGACCTTAATGAAATGCTGCCCATCATCAACCTTCACTATATCCAGACCTTCTTTCCAGAGCAACCAGACACGCCCATTAACAGACTTAGGGTAGTTATTTAAATGCTTAAATTGACTGAACTTCTTGAGAATATCAGAACTATGAGAAGCAACAACTCTAGTTTCTATTAACGCTACTATATCTAACTTCAAACTCAAAAACTTCTTAAGCACGGCAGAGTGCTTATCAGGGGCATTGAACCCCCTGATGTTCCAACACAATACCTTCATTTACCCCGCTTCTTCCCCCTACCCTT